GTGATTCGACTTCCATAGTTCTTTCTTTGGATGTGGACAGCATTTTCCATCCTGAGGCCTCTGGAGATGTCTTAGATCCTCGTAACGCTGAGAAGGGTTCAGTTTAACAATCTTAGTCATTGCATAACGTGGCTGTTATTGTGTACAAAGTCCTCTTGGTTCTGCTCACTTCACTCAGCATCAGACCATATAAGTCTTTCCAGGTTTTTCTGAAGTCAGTCTGTTCATCATTTCTTATAGCACAATAGTATTCCATTACACTCATATACCACAACTTGCTCAGCCATTCCCCAATTGATGGGCATCCTCTCAATTTCCCATTCTTTGCCACCACAAAAAGAGCTGCTATGAATATTTTTGTACATGTGGGTCCTTTTCCCATTTGTTTGATCTCTTTGGAATATAGCCGTAGAAGTCCTGCACAAACTCTTTAACAGCTTCCCTTTGCCTAATGAACAAAGTACAAACTACTTAACCAATTATTTAAGACCCTTCACAATCTGCTACCACCTACTCTTCCAGCTGTCTGAGGCCAGATTTGAATTCAAGCAGATGAGTCTTCCTGACTCCAGACCTGGCACTCTATCCACTGCTCCACCTAGCTGCCCTTTACATCACACTGCTTCACTTCATTTATTTTACATTAAAAAGGAAAAAAAAACTAGACTGTTTACCATTCTCAGAGATCATTCTGTCCTTTCCCTCCTCTGTGCAAAGATTTGTTCATGTTACCCCTGATGCCTAGAAAGTACTCTCCCTGTTAAAATCCTACCAAATCTTTAAATCCACCTCCCTTCTTGGCTCTGTCATGACACTTCGATGGTGTCTCTTGTGAACATAATTCAATATACTGATAAACATGTGATCTCACTGACTCTCTCCAATAAGAAAGATAATCCATTTGTGCCTTCTCATCCTGGAAGGAAGGTCCTGGTCCACATTGTGGCTGTTTGTATAGATGACCTATCTCCCCTGGGAGGCTGAAAGATCCTCAAGGATAAAGACCCTACCAGTTTCACCTTCATATCCCTCAGCCCCTAGGCCAAGACATTTAATAAATGCTTGATGAGTCTAATTGAACCAATTGTGTTTGCAAAGAATGAGAGAGAGAACAGTATAGTAAATAGAAGACAGGCCTTGCAGTCAGAAAGAGCTGAGTTCAAATCCAACATATGATATATACTATCTGTGTGATTCTTGAAAAATGCTTGTTGACTGACCATGGACAATCATATAGGCCCCTGATGTTCACTGTGACTATAAGACCTTGGAAAACATTTGACACCAATCTGGTCCCTAACTCTTCTTGAAGGAATTCTATCAAGCTCTTGATAAATGGTCAGGGAAGGGGAAAATGCCTTTATTGATTCAGGTTATTTGAATAAACTTCCTTAAGCTTAGGGAAAAAAAAAGGAAGGAAGGAACCTTAGAGGTCATATAGTCCAATTGAATGTGAATTCAGTTTCTCCATTTTATAAGTGAAGAAATTGACCCAAAGAGACTGGGACAGCTAGGTGATACAGTGGATAAAGCATTGGACCTGGAGTAAGGAAGTTGTTGTTAAGTCATTTTTTTTTTTGGTTGTGTCTTGAGTTTCTATGACCTTGTTTGAGGTTTTCTTGGCAAAGATACTGGAGTGCTTTGCCATTTCCTTCTCCAGTTCCCTTTATTGATGAGGAACTGAGGCAAACAGGGTTAAGTGACTTGTCCAAGGTCACAGAGCTAGGAAATGTCTAAGGCCAAATTTGAATTCACAAAGATGGGCCTTTCTGACTTCAGGCCTTGAACTCTATCCAGTGCATCAGCTAGCTGCCCCTGGAGTAAGGAATAGCAGAGTTCAAATCTGGCTTTGGACACTTACTAACTGAGTGACCCTTGTCAAGTCACCTACTTTTTGTTTGTCTTAGTTTTTTCATCTATAAAATCGGGATAATAATATCACCTACCTCCCAGGCAAGTCTATTGTAAGGATTAAATGAGATAATATTTGTACATCACTTAGCCTAGTGCCTAGGCATATGGTAGGTTTTGTATTAGTGTTAGCTGTTGTTGTTGTTGTTGTTATTATTATTATTATTATTATTATTATTATTATTATTATTATTATTATTGACTTGCCTTAGGTCACAAGTCAAGCAAGCAACAGAACTTAGATTTGAACCCAGAATTTCTGACTCTAAACTTAATACTCTTTCCACTGCACTACAGCTTGAAGTCAATTAAACTCTCAAGGCTCCAGGCAATCAACCAAAACTCTTCATTTTAGACAACAGCCCGTCTCTATCAGCAGAGGGAGTTTCTATTCTGTGTAGAAATTCCCAACATAGATGAAACACAGGTCTGGACATAAAAGAAAAAAAAAGAGAGAGAGAGAAACATAAGACCTTGTAATATTTGACTAGAGTCACTAGACAAACCTTTTATAGCTCAATAATCATTTTGGACATCAGGTCCTGTCATCTCAACAATCAAAATAACTGAACACTGATTTTGATTGGCAAAATGATAGAATCACATAATGTTAGATCTGGAATAAAACTTAGAGATCATCTATTTCAAGAGTTTTTAACCTAAGGTTGGTGCACTTGTGAATTTAAAATATATATATATATATATATATATATATGTATGTATATTATATGTATATATACATACATATATATAATTTAATTGTATTTCAACATAAATGGTTTCTTTTGTAACTATGATACTTTGCTTCACGTATTTAAAAACATTTGTTATGCTTCTTCAGGTAGCAAAACCAGTTTATTTATATGAAATCAGAAAGAAGATCTAAAAATAAAGATGGTGTTTTTCAGCTCAGAAATCTACATTGGCTTGGACTCTGGTCTCAATTTCAGCTTACATGTGGTCTGAGGCAAACAGCAATACACAAAGCATTGGAACCCAAGCTCCCTCTGGTACTGGAAAGTAGATTTAGCTCTAATTTTTGTGACAGATGGAGTTGATACTCTGGAGGGGGAGGGGGAGTGCTGGGGGAAAAAATAAGGGGCCAGGTTTTGACGGGCAGCAGACTCCTTATGCCTCTTGTGGTCAAAAAACGTGTTGCTATGAAATTAAGGTAGCAATAAAATTCAACGATCCTCCAAAGGAAGCAGTATCTGCTAACTAACTACCCTGCAGGATAGATTAGGAACTTCATTTCAAGGCAAGCAAAGCCATCAAACATTTCACTTCACAGCGTAATAGAAATCTAGATGAGTACCTGGCTATGTCCTTCGTGCAACTCTGATTTGTTCTTGACAACCGTCAGATTTTTAGCATGATTAGAATTTAAAAGTATGCATATCATTTTTTTATACTTCACAGTGACTTATAAAAGGATGCCTGAAAAATCCCATTTGTAATTTTTATTAATTTATTATTTTACTAGTTTATTTTTATGAATTTCATTACCTTACATATTAATGCATATATACTGGCTCTGCATTCTATTAAAAAAATTATTATTTTTAATGAAAAGATGAAATATTAAAAGTGCAAATAGAGGGTGGCAGCTCTGTTTTTGGAACTGAAGCATTACGCCTCCGGGGCATACATCTAATTAAAGTGTTATTTATTGTGCCTAGGTTTTTTTTTGCTTGTTTATTTTAAATGATTCAAAAGCTCGAGACTGAATTCCACTGATTTTAAAATAATTATTTCATTATCATGACTTAGGGAGGGGAAATCTACAAACTAAAGCGATTTCCTGACTCAGAAGAAGGCACAGATGAGGCCGGAGAGAAATTAATAAAACAACAAATTCAAAACAAATCGAAAAGCCCGGTTTCTTTGCCGGATGCAAACAGCTGCCTGAAGCAAGCCCTTGCAAATTCACTTGTGCTCGAGTAGGGACTACATTTCGGAGCCTCCTTAAAAGTAGGAGGAGCTCCTCCGGGCTGCTGTCAGTCTCCTTAAGCCTTTCCTTTCAAGACTTGAATGTGAGCTGCCCACCATGCCCCGTCCTCCCTCCCCCACCTCCCCAGCCCCGCTCTAGTGGATAGTTAAAAAAAAAAAAGTTTCAACAACAACAGGCATGACCAATAGTATCTCGAAAAGTCGGGGAAGGGGGCCGAGCAAAGGGCGAAAAGAGAGTGGAGAAAAGGAGAAAGCAGGAGCTACCGGGAGCGAGGGACAGAGAAACTGCTAAGAGGAGAAGCGTTGCTAATGTTTTTATTTGTTTGCTTTTCCATGCATGCATAATGAGGAGGGATCTAAGCACGTCGCAGTTGCTCCAGGAGGACTTTTGTATTTAAAGCCTCGCTGGGAGAAAGTCCACACATCGGATCTGGGGAGCTGCTCACTAGCGCTAGTTGACAAGGGGAGAAGCATCAGCAGGGAAAGGAAGCGAGTAAGCCCGTTTTCTGCCGCTGAGAGTTTCTTCTTGTCCTCCTTCCTTCCAGAAAACGGAGATACCACAGACTTCGGAGAAGTACGGGATCGAGCTGCCGAAGTGTGGTGGGGGAGGGGACAGAGCAGTGGAGGGACTAGAAGACTTCTCCACGGCCGAGAACGCGGGCGACGGGCAGAAGCTGAGAGGAGCAGCGGCATTGCGGCCGGCGCAACGTTGAGAAAGAAGAGAAAAAAGCCCGGGACTGAGAGAAAGGGCAACTTTCCCGGGCAGCTCAGCCACACAACGGATCTGCCAGAGGAGAGCAAGATGAATTCTCGCTGCAGCGCTTCGGTGCAACCAAGGGAGCCCCACCGAGGCCCCTTTCACCAGAGCCTGCAAGGACAGCGCTGAGTTCCACCCGTTACGGGGGACTGTTTTGGGGGAGATTTCGGGGGGCGAGGGTTGATTAGCAAGGTTTGTTTTTTTTCCTTTGAGTGTTGTTTTTTTCGACAGAATACCTTTGAGCCAAACACCCTAACCAATTTTCACCAAGACAGGAAAATCAAGCCGCACGAATGGATTTATGAAAACCCTCATGCAAAAAGTTGGCAGGAGTTTAGCAAACTTTTGCACAGACTCCACCTCCAGTGCCTCCTACTTGTGGCCCTCCTCTCCTCTGTTTCCCCTCTTGTCCGGCTGCTGCTGCTGCTGCCGCTGCTGCAGCGGCGGCGGCGGCGGCTGCCGGTCCTCCTCCTGCTGCCCGCGATGGTGGCAGGTTTGCTGGGCTGCTGGGGCGGCGGCGGCGGCCGGTGGTGGACAGTGCCCGGCACTTGGCTGTGCTTGATGGCGCTGCTGCTCCTGGGCTCCCCTCCGCGGGGATCCGTGCTGGTGCACGGCCGTAGGCTCATCTGCTGGCAGGCGCTGCTGCAGTGTCAAGGCGAGCCCGAGTGCAGCTACGCGTACAACCAGTACGTTGAGGCGTGCGCACCAGTCCTGCTGCAGCGGGGGGGCCAGGAGGCTGCAGCCGCTTCTTCTTTCCCCTCCTCCTCTGCCTCCTTCTCCTCCCGCTGGCGGTGCCCGAGCCACTGCATCTCGGCCCTGATTCAGCTCAACCACACCAGGAGGGGCCCAGCACTGGAGGACTGTGACTGCGCACAGGATGAGAACTGCAAATCTACCAAGCGTGCCATCGAACCGTGCTTGCCTCGGACGAGCAGTGGAGGTGGGGGCTCCAGCGGGGGCGCCGGGGGAGCAGGCGGGGGAGGTGCCGGGGGCGGCGTGATGGGCTGCACCGAGGCCCGTCGGCGTTGTGACCGCGATAGTCGGTGTAACCTGGCCTTGAACCGCTATCTCACCTACTGCGGGAAGCTCTTCAACGGGCTGCGCTGCACCGACGAGTGCCGCGCGGTGATCGAGGACATGCTGGCCGTGCCTAAGGCTGCGCTGCTCAATGACTGCGTCTGCGACGGGCTGGAGCGGCCCATCTGCGAGTCGGTGAAGGAGAACATGGCCCGGCTCTGCTTCGCGTCCGAGCTAGGGAACGGCCCGGGCAGCAGCGGCTCCGACGGCGGCCTGGACGACTACTACGACGAAGACTACGATGATGAACAGCGGGGCGGTGGGGGTCTCGGAACGGCCGGAGACTCTCAGTACGAGGAGGATGGGCTCCCGCACCCGGCTCGCCCGGGCGGCGGCGCTGCTGCAGCGGCTGCTGCAGCTGGAGGAGGGCGCGGGGAGCTGCCCTACGGGGACGGGAGGAGGAACCGCGGCTCCCGCTCGGCTCCCGAGGGCGCCTGGACTCTGCTCGTCTCCATTTTGCTGCTGCTGTTCCTGCGGCCGCTGTCGTAGCCTTTTTTCTCCTAACTCCTCTGTTCCTCCATGTGCTTGGTCTATTGATTCCCCGAAGTCGCCCCACTCGATCACGCTCTCCCGGGTCTCCCTTCCACCTTTCTCTTTCTCCTTCGCTTCCTTATCTCTGCCTTTTCCCATCACCTCCCCACAGCCCCCAGCATACTTTGCCCTCCCCGGTAACAGTAATCGGTACTTAAAACAGCTTTAGAGGAGTTAGGGAATACTTTGCTTCCTACTCCCCCAGACTCTTTTTTCCCCCCGTTTTTCAAAACTAATGTACTGTCCCCTGGTTTCTCCCCTACCTTCCCCTGGATTTCCCTACAGTACCCACACCAATTTTACACATTCCTCTTCCAGAAAAGTAGCGAGAATCTTGGGTTGTTGTTTTTGTTTTTTCCCTCCACCCCACCCCGACTCCAACTCTACTATAGATACTCCAAATCACTTGGTAGGCTGGAACCCCGGCTTTGTATGAGACTTAAGGCAGTTCAGGGAGTGGGAGAGGGGTAGAAGTAGCAGGGCAGGAGGAAAAGAGACACCCTTCAGATTAAGTGGAGTTCTAATGAGTGCATTCTTCCCAGTTTTGTCCCACCCAGTTCTGGGCTGGTGAGTGGCTAGTTGAGAGATATTTGAAAGAGATAAGCTTGAAATGCTGCTTAAGGTTTATTTGCAAGTCTCCTCTAAGGTACTGTGCAAAGAGTCTTACGGTTTGACCTATTAGAATCTTTTAAAGAGTCAGTTACTTGAATTAAAGTCTCATTCATTCATTCATTTCTTCTCGGCATCAGTGCCCAGAATATTCTTAGTGACGAAAGAAGCAGGGATCAGGTTCTTATTGCTATTTTACTTGCTGGGGAAGAGGGAAATATCTAAACTGTGTGATGGTTAGTAACGTACTTAGCTAATTCCATTCCTATTTTTAAAAAAAAGTTTCAGATCAAATTTGACTTCCCGTTCCATCATCCAGTATTCAAACTCAAATGCTGATGTAGGAAGTTATTAATGATACTAAACAATGCAACTTTTGTTTTAAAAGAGCGCTGCACTGCCATCTCCGAAAGACACTTTGTGGTGTTTAGTGGTTATGTTTGCGTTTTTTGTTTTGTTTTGTTCTGGTCTTTTTACATTAAGAACTTCTGTGTACCTTGAGAAATTATATTGCCTCTACTCCTATCAGGGTGCTGAACTCTGGTAAATCTTATATAAAATGTATTTAAAACTGGGATTTGTTACCAGTCGCTGTACCTTGTATATAGAATTTTTATAAAATGTATGCTTCAAAAATAATTTATTTTTTAAAAAAAAGAAATTAAAGTTTAAAATTTACGTTCATGCTACTCTTTTTTAAAGAAATGTACAGATTTCATTTGTTTTAAAGGATACAAAATACAATAATCCATTGTGAAGTATGCACTAGGACAGCAAATGTACAGTGTATTTTATAGATTGGACGTTAACTTTCTTATTTTTAAGAGAATTTATGGACGATGTTGTTGATTTGTATAAATACATTTCCAGACTGCCTTAAACATTGTCTTTTATAGAAGGCATAAGAAGTCCTATGTAACTATGGCTTTGTGTATTTTTGTTTTGTTAAGTGTGTACATCAGTAAAGAGTTTTAAATAAGGAATGTGGTGAAATTGTTTTTTCAGAGTTATCTTATGCTATAGCCAATAGTGGAGAAAATGCATCCATCAAAGTTAAAAGTACAGACCAAGACCTAAAATGCCATAAATAGAGGTTTTACTATTACCATGGATATTTTAATGAACAATTAGACTTCTGCAAATAAGGCAGTTAAAATACTTAATTACCAGGAATGACTTCAGTTGTTTTTATGATTCGGTGACACAGTTCCTATATCTAGAAAATTGTTTCTCTTCCACATGCAGAGATTATCAGGAGCCCTCATTCTTTCCCCTCCCCCTTCCCTCTGGCTTTCTTTTCACCCAGTAAAGTGGTACACTCCATGCTACTAGACATTCTTATACAATAAACCATGTCAATAACATCTCGGCCTATAAATGGGTCTACAAATCCCAGGATTTTGAGGTAACTTTCACAATTCTAGCAAAAAAAAAAAAGTCAAAAGTAAACAACTTGAGGTGTAGAACAATTAGCAGAACTTGTAATATTGTTGTGAAGAGTTGTTTAGCAATGAGCTGAAGGCTGGTTTTCTGCCAGGGCTACTGATCTACACTCAGACGTCCTTAGATAAATAATTACACTCTTAAGCTGTGTCGAGTGCTGATACACTTGACCTTGTAAATAGAAATGTTTGCAGTAGGAATAAACTCCGGCATTGGAAAAATCTTTTAAACATTAACACAAAAGAGAGAGCTCAGTTCTCTGGGGATTTGAGTCTGAACCTCGCCAAGCAAGGCACTTGCAGGGGGAAAAAAAAAGTTTATTTATCTTCTATTCCTTGTGTTTATTTAAAGCTTTTCATTTTAAATGCTGTGATTGGAAGGCAAGTCAGAAGTTTAAAAGCCACCACAAATAAACTTTGTCTGAGGGGTCGACAGATTAGCCAGATCTCGTGTCTCTTTATCTGATATTAACATGTGTCGAGAAAACTTAACCAGATTTCTCTGCTGCCTAAAGTAATTAACAAATCTGTGTCTCCCCCCTTCCACCTCCCTCCAATCCCACCCACTCCCATTTTGGAGGCTTAGTTTTCTTTTAATTCTCACTTCTCCCCCCTCCCTCTTGTTTATTTTCAGGGTTCTTTTCAATGAAGCTAAAACCAGGGCTTATATATTCATACATTATCAGAAAGTTCAGGATAGTTGTAATATCAAACAACCATTTATGAGTATAATGTGTTGCTGTGATCTAAAGTCACCTGAATGGTTGAGTAAACATATTGTTAAAACAAAGCTGAAAATGTTGTTTCTTTAGGAAGAAGGGACAAAGGGTAGTTGGAAGACACTTGTAAATGGAATCAGCCCTCTTTACAAAACACTGAGTTTGCAATCCTTTTAAGCATGCTCTTAAATATATTTAAATGTGTCTTGATTCTACCTATGCAGTCTATTTTTAACATATTTTTTTACTAAAAAGTTGCCTTTGTCCCAGTAAAAAGCTCAGTTTTTCCCCAGGAAGGAGTAAAAGACATTAGCACTAGAAAAGGACTGATAATTAACTACTACAATAAACTGAAGACTTGATTTTACCAGCTCCTGTCAAAAGCATCTGCCTGGAATAAATCAACAGAGAGCACCAGTGGGGAGGGAGGACACGAGTCTTATGCTTCCTTCCCTGTAGAAAGTGAACATTGACCAGTAGTTTGTTTTAATTTAAATTATTATATAGAAGAACCTAGTACCCACCCTACTACTCAGCTGAGAGATCCTACAGAAATTTGTGGCAACATCAAAGCCAAAGGTTATTTATTTATTGTTTTGGTGAATGGATAGCATTTCCAGCTTCTCCAAAGCAGAAAGAATTTTATAGATGTTGACATATGCAATATCTTCAACTCTCTAGGGAGCCAGTTGGAATTGTGGACACTTGGCAGCCTTAAATGAAAGTGCTATGGATTATCATTAGAGGAAGAAAAGACCAATGCCTTTCCCCTAGGAATCCAATAGGGATTTTTCTAGAGTGCCTTGATATAGTAGGTGCACAATCAATGTGGAATGAATGAAAGCATGATCTGAAAATGCCCCCACTCCGAACTGAGGTCTTCCAGGGTGAAAAGGAACTCCTTTTAGAATTTCATGTCAAATCATGTGTTCTTGTTGCCTTTTTTTTTCCATTTTCCCAGTTACCAGGTTTGAATTCTCAGTGACAGTTTATTTGTCTTTGGAGGCACCTCAGTGACAAATGTTTAAGGGAGTGTGGGACAATGGAGGCAGTTCATTGAACTGACAGTGACCATACAGTAAATAGAAGCAGATTCAAGCTTCACTGATCACCCAAGCACACAGCAAAGCTTTTGTATATAATCACAATGGACATAACATAAGGTCTCTGTTTATTTTTAACAATATGTAGCCATGTACACAGGCAGTGCACATACATAAGGTGGAAACATAGGGCTGGTCAAGTGAATTCTTACATTAACAACTGGTACCTCCTTGAGCTTGTCCATGGCCTTTTAAAAACACCTAGTATGTGTGGAGTGAGGTCTTAGCTCTCACTTCTGCTCTGTTCAGGGAAACATATTTTAATACAAACCGTAGCATGTACTACAAAAGACACACCTAAAAAGACAGGTAAGCAGTACTACCATAGCAGATCACCAGAGAAATCACCTAAATGAAAGTCTTCAGTTTGTGCATATGCTCAAAGAATAAATACCTCAGGCAAACCACAAGGACACTAGGAGTCCAGTGTGTCACCATTCTGGGAACATAGTAAAACTGTCAGTTTCTACTATTGGCTCCCCACTTTCATTTTAGAAGTTTTTTAGCTTAACTTCATGGGTTCATTTCCAATACATGTGGGGGGGGGGCAGAAATCATTATTTATTTGCAACCTTTCACGCCAAGGATGACAAGACACTTTAAAGAATCCATTCCAATCTTCCCCAATCTGACCCAATTACAGCTAGGAGATGCCCATGATCTAAATAACTCATAGTCAGAAAGCGGCTTTTTCCTCTACCTGGTTTCCTCTTTTGTCCAGCTGAGGAGTGGTTTTCAAAGTTACTGTATTTTACTTGAGACATTTGCCTGTGGCGGACAGTTGAAAAAGTTTGTGTTTGACTCCCTGAGTGACTTAAGTAATTCACCATTAGGACAAACACTTTCTGGGGCATCTATTTAATCAATTTCTTAACTAACAGAATGATCTACTACAAAATAGTGAACTGTATACACTATATTTTGGCACAAAGATGGTCATTCTCCCACTAGTAACCAGGGGCTCTAAATAAATGATTTCAACAATGTTTTATTAAAGGGGGACAAGAGCCCTCGAGTTGCATTAGTTGGGAAGAAGTCGAGTGGCACTTTTGTTATGGAAATGTTAAGCACATAAGAGTTCAGACAAACAATGTGGAGCCACTTCATTCTTTCAGCCATGCTGACATCTCTTAAAGAGGAACTGCAGGGAAGGATGTGGGAAAGATTTGCTTTCTGAGGAAGCTTTCAGCTAATATTTTGGAGGGTTATCTCCAAACCTTGGGTAATATGCATGTTCCTGAGAGGTATGAAGGACTGAGAAGGAGAAATCACTCCCACCCCCCACTCTCACCCCTCCTCCCCTCAATTCTGGGATATGTGCTTCACGTGGAAATACAGATGCCATTGTTCTGGGAAAGTATTTTGTCAAAAAATTTTTTTTCAATGAATTCATGGCAAAATGAGTCATTTGTAAAGCTAACCAATCATCTATTACTTTCCAAAGTATATCCATAATATGTTTGTATTTAATATATGTCACTGTAACATGAATTTTTGTTGCTAGCATAGTGATACAAGCTCACTCTGCTTTTAGTCTTATATTTAATTTCTGGTAGTACTTTTGGATATTTTGTGCTCATCTCTTAAAGGCTCTTGAGAAAACTAGCCTCACACCCTTAGCACACATCTAACATTCCATTGTGGGCCTCTACATGGAGTGGGCTTTGATAAACACCATTGCCTGTTTTCAAAATAAGCAACTTTAACTCAGCATGGGTCGAGGTATCCTTCAAAGTCAGCGTGTGCCCCACGATATTGACAAGTTTTTGGCTACTTCCTTTCTAAACAAATCAGAAATTACACCTGTTCTGGACACCCATTGCTTGCCAATATTACAGCCTGGTTATTTTAAAAAATAGTGACCAAAATGCAACATGTACCTCATCTCATCCCGAGCAGTTGAGGACCACACACACACAGAGGAGGTCTCTGAATATTGAACACTAAAGTTAAAATACAAAAGGGCCTGAGAGCAAAAGATGGTAGAAGTCCAGCCCATCGAACTGTGGGGTCCAGAATCCTACTTCTGATGGTGACCAATATCAAATATATCAGATGATGCCCTTTTTTTCTTCTCTTATGTACACAGTGACCTCAAGCCAATGGGGGGGGGGAGAGAGCCAAGATAGGAGAGGAAAAATTTTCAAAAAGATTCAGAATTTGAGGTTAAACAAAATCAAGCTGAAATATTTCAATCTTTTAAAGTATGTCTTTGGAAGAAAACCCTCTGCTTCATTTCTCTCTACCTATATAATGAAAAATGTGAATAACTTCTTGCCAGGATCTAAATATATTTTACATCCTAGGGTTTTGTATGCACATAGGTCATTAAGTATACATGAATAATCATTCTGCTCTTGCAAGTGCTTAATAGATGGAGCAGCTCAACTTCTTCATAACTCAACATTGACTTACTTTGGTAATGAGAAATACTGAAGAAAGGTTTAAGTCAGACAAGGCTATAGACTAGCCGGAAGAAAAAATATGATCCATAGACTTCATATCTGTTAAAATAAAAATTCTGAGAATTGCATTCCATCCTGGGAGGTATCTTTGCTAGGTGCTTCTGTGTAATTCTGTATGTTTCTAAAGTAGCTTAATTTTTAAAACAAATTCTCAACCTAGGGGGTGCAATGGATAGAGTGCTGGATCTATAGTAACTAAGCTCTGACTTCAAATCCTACCTCAGACACTTGCTAGCTGTAAGACCCCAGGCAGT